AGAAAATTCTGGAGATGGAAGTTAACAAAAAGTTCCATCACAAGAAAGCAGTCCAATACAAACAAAAACAGAAAGAAAGAAGAAAGAAAGAAAGGATACAAAATACTCAAAAAATAAAGAGCAAAATGAGTTATGTAGACATTTCATTTTCAGTAATAACCTTTAAGTAAAAATAAATGGTCTAAATGCCCATGCACAAAATGAAGAGTCGCAGAATGGATAAAATCATGATCCATCCTTTTTTGTCATTCACAAGAACCACACTTAGACAGAAAGACACAATCAGACTGAAAATAAAAGGATGGAGGAAAATATTCCATGCAACAAGTAAAGACAAAGAGCAGGGTGTTAGGCAGTTAGAACTTGGAAGCGCATCTGACCACAGAACAACCACAGCCAACACCAGATGTGCTTCGGCCCATCAGAAAGCCCAGGCAGGAAGAGACTGCCTCCAAATCGGGCATGTGCAGAGAAGAATAAGCCTGATTGGAAGAGACTGAGGAGATAATCATAATCCCACTATAAAAATTAGCATTACAGTACGCTCATTAATATAATTATGCTGTTGTTGTTGTTAAGTGCTATCCAGTTGGTTCTGACTCATAGCAACCCTGCAGAAGGTTTCTGAGGAGTGGCTGGTGAGTTTGAAACACGAACTTTGCAGTTCAAACTGACCTTGTGGTTGAGTGCGTATCCTCCAGCACCACACCAGGGCTCCAATATAATTCTAACAGAGTGAATACGGGAAAAGAGTGATGTAAGGCCCAGGAGGAACTGACCAATTATGAGCCCTAAATTATGATATGAAAACACAGGAATCAGAAGACCCAGAGCCCACCCTGGAGGACAATAGCATAAAAAGTTAAACCATGAAGTTACTCGGGGATCTACTCACTTGTGAGGTAGTAGCCTGCTCTTACTCTAATGAGAATGTCTATGCTTAAATAAAAATTTTTGCTTCATTTATGTTTAGCTGATTTGCTCAGTGTGCATGCCACGGCTTTTGTTGTTGTTGTTGTTAAATTCCATCAAGTCGGTTCATGCACTCTACCAATTCTTTGGAGGGACAACAGAACCGAACCAGAATGCGTCATCCATATGGTAATGGGGTGCCCAGAGTATTGTTAAATAAAATAGATTTTAAATCAAGAGATAAAGAAGGCATTATGTAATAATAAAAGGTCTTCCAATGGAGCAGCTGGGGACTTTTGACCCAGAGAGGGAGAGGGGCTCTGTGTTGCTGACCAGGGGGCAGGCTTGTAGGGTATACCCTTTGGTTGGTTGATGATGCATGGAAGGGATTGTAACCATGGCAATGAAACGATATATGATAGGATGAATGTAAAACTAATGTTATCCCCATGTAAACTATCACATAATTCACAATAAAACATTAAAAAAAAAAAGGTCTTCCAGCAAGAAGACATAACAATTATAAATATACCTAACATCAAAGGCAGAGTCTGGTGGGGCATTGTGGGTTCTTGCACTGGACTACAAACTCTGTTTGAACTACAAGGTTGGCGATTCAAGCTCACCAGCTGTTCCTCGAAAACTATACAGGATCACTATGGGTCGGAACCAACTCAATGGCACTTAATAATAACAACAGCAAAGGCATCAAGACTGGAGGAGACTCATTAACAACCTATGATATACAGGATGATACAACCTTGCTTGCTGAAGGTGAAGAGGACTTAAAATATTTACTGATGAAGACCAGAGACTACAGCCTTCAGTATGGGTTGTACTTCAATGTAACGAAAACAAAATTCTCTCAGCTGGACCAACAAATAATATCATGATGAACTGAGACACAACGGAAGCAGACCTCATCCTAGAGGTGATTACACAACATTACATCTCATCACGGGGGACAAGTACATTTCAATTGCCAAACCACTGGTAATCCTGGCCCAGGCAAATGGACACCAAACTTGAACTGTTTATATATACATATATATATCATGTTGACATTAAACTTTATCACTTACATATACAGTTTCCTGGTGTGGCCCAATAACAGGTAGGCAGTTCAAACCTACCAGCTGCTCCTCAGAAACCCAACACAGGGTTGCTATGAGACAGAAGTAATTCAATGACACTTAACAACAACAACAACAAATATATCTATATATTCCCAGAAGAAGGAAAAACAAAGAATGCAAATGGAAGGCTGTATACCGAGGTTTGCTGCAGTACTTCTTACATAAGTTGAATGGTTAAAACAACTGAAATGTCCCTCAACGGATGGATGGATGGATACACAAAATGTGGTCTATACAAACAGTGGTCTATACACTCCTCAGCCATAAAAAGAAAAGATGTATACCACCACCTGGATGAACCCTGAAAACATTATACTAAGCAAAATAAGTCAGTCATGAAATGACAATGACTGTGTGATATCACTTTAATACGAAATAAGCAAATATATAGAAGCCACAGGTTATTAGCGGTCATCAAGGGTGGGAGGGAGAGGCAAAAGGGGTTCTTTTGTTTGGTGGGCAACAAGATAATCTTAACAGTGGTAGAACATTTATGATGAGGATATTGAGAACGGTTACGGAACATGAAAAATGCAAAGTCAATGAGTTGTAAATGTAGATGTTGTATGTTGGCAGATGTTTTGGTGTGTCTATTTTCATAATTAAAAAAAGAATGAGAAAGAAAAGAAATAAGACTATTTTGGTCATTAGGTGTCATGAGCCATCTTACTAAAAAAAAAAAAAAAAAGAGCTAAAATGAATATAGAGAAATACACTGTTAACTGAAGGTACATGGAGGGGATTATAAGCATTGTAACGAAACAAAGTATATGATTTGTTGAATGTAAAACTGATGATGTGCTCTGTAAACTTTCGCTCAAATCACAATAAAAACTTTAAAAAAACAAAAACAGAAAGCGCCATGTAATGGAGAGCAAAGCTCTGCCCAGTCCAATGGAGGCATGGTCTGTTAGAACCTCATGTAATAACGAAGCTACATAAGAATCACATATTACATTACATGGTATCATGACACCTGGGACTTCTTATTACCAAAAGTCATTTACTCACCATAAGTAAATCCACACAAAATTCCATACAGCCCATTACTCCTCCAATGTAGAATCTGAGACACTAGGATAATCAGAGACAGAACTCTTTCCACTCCTTGCAATGATATATCAGAAAGGAACTTGCCTGTAGACTTCATTACTTAATAACAAGAGAAATTAATTCCACTTTAAAGTAAACAAAACAACCTCTCCACTCTCATCTGCCTTGTAATAGTCCTCTTTTCACAGTCCATTTGCAATCTCTTGTCTCTTGAGAAACTGTTACCAATCTGGTGACTCTCTGGAGTTGTTAAAGAATACCTGTTTCTGCTATTAACTCGCTGACTGATAAAAGAAGTCACCGTGAATGCAGAATAGACATTGAGCTTCCTTTATAGAGCAATCAGTGACTTAAAAAAGTCCTTGTGGTCACATTCAGAGGAAAGGCATTCCTTACATGAGGCATTTTCATCCTCCTGCAATTGCGAATAAGATTTCTTTTGATTTGGTTGTGCTGCCAGGGACAAAACCTCCTTCTAGCTCTGCTGCATATACACCAAAAACCTGTGGACCGTTGGTAACAAAACGAAACACAAAAAGAATGTCTGCCATCAAACACAATGCTCACAAAGCCTCTTATGGGAATGGTCTTACAAATAAGAAGCTTATCTGCCCCTCAGAACTGCCACTTCTGGACAGGGGGAGGAAAAGATGAACTAGAGCATCATTTTAAGAGTTATTTAAGAACTGTTTGGCACAAGTCATGATTAGAGATGTCTTTTTGGCCTTCAGTAGAACCTTACCTCCTTTGGTTATTAATGAAGGGCACCTACAAACTATAACAGTCTCTGACTATAAACGGAATGGTGTTTAACACCCAAAGACTAAAGAAAACCTTTGTATATTCTTTGTGCTGGAAGAATTAATAAAAGGCTAAGAACTTTATCTACATGAGCAGAAACAGAAAAAGAAACTTCTAGGGATTATGCCTTATGCAGTATGCTGAGAATCAGAACTTGATGTGGATTTCTACCCTGGTTCCACTGAGAACATAGAAATGCTTCTCAAGTAACTGAGAAGAAGGTCAGGTGCTCATTGTAACAGGGTGTAAACTCCAATCTGAATGGAGCTTTAGAAATCTACGTTCTGCCACCAATACAATTGATAAATAAAGGCTGCAGCTAACCCTATACTGTGCTGTCCTTCTTCCAGAACATTTTAGTAACCTCAGGGATAAGAGAAAACGAAAGCATTTCTGTCAGAGTTAAATTCAAGTATCCACATGGAAAACATTCACAAAGTTGGCAATACCAATGGGTACACAAACATTATCCTACCACCTTGCCAACATGACTGTTAAGGAATTGGCTTCCTTTGCTATCACTATTAAGCTAATTAAACTGTAAGTTTTTTGCAGTGAAGATCTCATGTTCCACTCATGTCTAGCACAATGTCTAACATATAATAGGTGGGTAACAAGCAACTGACTTTTGGATTAACTATAATTAATCTCGTTTTTATAGACCAAACGTGTACTCTCAAGCCTTGAACTACAGATCATTGCCCCAAATGGATCAGATCTTAATACGTAGGTACAAAAACCTAAACACGTAACACAGTCCTACAATACACAGCCATTTTCAATGATGAAGAACAGAAATACTTAATAAAATGGGACAATGTTAACAATACTTTGGTTAACAATATGACACCTTGATAGAAAATTTTTATATTATTATATTTTTAATAGATTTAAGGAAACATAAGTTCAGAGCACTAAACAGCCTGATGACCTGGTCCTCCCTCCTCACCCGAGCGAGGCACCTTCTTTTGAACTCTGAGTAGAAAACCTCAGTGATTTAAACACAGGATTAGATACTTGCGTCTCTACAAGGTCAAATAAACATGAGAGGCAAATTCAGAGATTGGGAAAACGAAACCACTGAAAGCTTTTCTCTACCTGGGCATAACGTAAGAGCTTCTCAGTGGCCTCCGGGTCTTTATTCCAGATGAGATCTTCACAGAGCAGGAGAAGTTCCTTGTGGATATCATCATACACAGGGAGATTTCCAGCATTCACTATCCCCATGTCCATGCCAAACTAAGGGGGACAGAAAGAAAAATAAGGACCTCCAGCCACACCCTAAATCAGGGGGCAGCCAGTGTTACAGAAAGTCTTTGAAGTCATACAGTCTTTGTTACAACTATTCAACTCTGCTGCTGTAGCGTGGATGCAGCCACAGACAAATCCTCAGGTTATGAATGTCCAACTTACCAACAACTCATACTTGTCCTTTAAATTTGGCCTTACTTTGAAACGACAGAACCAATCCCAACTGGCAACAAATTCTTCATTATAACTTTCACTTGCTGCACATACAACTTTTTTAAATCACTGAAAAAGCTTCAAGCCTTTTCCTGTACTACACAGTAAGGCTACGAAAGAACCACATGCACCTGTTCTGACTTACCTACATAGTCAACTTAAAGGTGCACTGAGGAACAGATCTTAATAAAAACCTGGGGATTGCCTGGATATATACATGAACAACAACAACAACAACAACAAACCCCATTGCCAGTGAGTTGATTCCCACTCTCAGCAGTCCCACAGGGTTTCCAGGGTTGTATGTAATCTCTATCTTTGTACTACAGAGTGACTGCTGGATTTGAACCTCTGACCTTTTACTAATCACTGTGCCATCAATAAAACTTTATTTACAAAACTGGTAGCAGGCAAGATTTGGCCTGCAGGCTGAAGCCTGTCAGCCCTCGCCCGAAATCAAAGCTGGTTTCAACAGGACCAAGTAGGTTTCTATCATACCTTGATCGCATGGTAAAGGAAAACTCCATGCATTGCTTCTCGAATGGCTTCCATTCCTCGAAAGGAGAAAGACAAGTTGGAAACACCTCCACTTATTTTGGCTCCTGGTAATGTTTCCTGACAAAAATTTCAAAATGCAAAATGATTCCCTAATTTTACCCAAAGTGAGAATTCTCTTAAACTTTACAAATAAGAGTAGAAAGTAAAGTGCATATAAAGATCAATAGTAATTTAGAGGATTTTTTTTTTGCTCAACATAGACCATAATTTGACACATTATGACATCGCAAAGCACCATTTCATAGTTTTTCCTACTGGACTCAAATCTGCCCAAGAACAAATATAAAACCCTATGGTATCTCTGTATATCTCTACAACCTAATCCATGAGCGCACCATAAAATAACTGCTGAGAAAATGACAGCAAGGAGAGAGCTAGTGCTCGCCAGAGGTGACAGCTTGCCAGTCCTTACTACTGCTATGACCCAAAAATCCCACCAGAAAACTCGTGACAGCTACTTCTTATACAGTTAAGGATATGGGAGGATAATCAAAAAACCCTCACTATATAATGAGGCTCCAGGCACATCTTAGGATAATACCAAGTATTAGCATGAACGTAAAACAACAGGAACTCTCGTTTACTGCTGGTTAAAGTGGAAATTGGTTCATGCATTTGGGAAGCTAGTTTGTCATTATCTACTACTATGAAACAACAATTCAACATCTAAGTATGTGCTGATGTGGTACTGTAGGGTACGACACTATAGGATAAGCACTGAACGGCAAACCACAAGGTCGGCAGTTCAAATCCGCCAGCCTCTCCCTGGAAATCCTATACGGGGTCGCTGTGACTCGGAACTGATTCAATGGCACTTAACAACAACAATATAAGCCGTGTGTTATTTTGAAACCTAAGCGACAGCTGTTATATGCTTCATAAGGAACTACTGATTAGACCCTACATTTCCTGTATTTCCTACAATGTGTTAGATTCCACAATTTAAAATAAGGTTATATAAAAGACAAAGTAAAGCCCCCAAATTTCAGAAAAACAATTCACTAAGAAGAAGCATATCAGCTCTAACTATTCACTGGAGTCATGAAATAAAATCAAGCCGTGTCGTAGGTAGAAGAGAGAAAATACCCAAACTTACTTTAATGACTTTTGTTGCGTGAATAAAATTAACAGCATACAAGTTGTGTTCTTCCATCCCGGTACCAATGGTGAGGATGTTGGGGTCAAAAATGACGTCATATGGATTAAAGTCCAGTTTTTGCACAAGTAGGTGATAGGCTCGGGTGCACACTTTGATTTTGGTTTCTATTTCTGTTGCCTGGAAAAGGAGCAAAAAATGTTTGAAATCTAAAAATGAAGTGTTATCAATGAAAATAGAAGCCCCTTCCACTCGTTATTAGCACTCAAGTATCACGATCTAGAACGAAAATGCCAAGCTGTCTCTAAAAAATGGTCTTGTTATCTCAGAGGAGGGAATTCTTCGTGTTTTCATCAGCACAACTACACTGCTTCTGTAAAAATTAAACCTTAAAAACATACACACACATATATATATGTTTAATTAATAGACTTAAAAAAATGCATGCACCTGATAAAAATTCAAACACCAGAAAAAGGACAGAATAAAAAAATCAGTGTTCTTCCTTCTCTGGCCCTGCCTGCAGCATCCTTCCCTACACCCCAGTGCACTGCCATAGCTTCCTGGGTTATTCCTCAATAGGAGTCTCTGTAGATACAAGCAAATGGATTTATTCTCAGCTCCCACCTACGGGAACACTGGCTTCTTCACAAAGGAGCCTTCATTTACTGTTAAAGTGCAAACTGTACTTTACAAGCATTTGAGGCGACAGCTTGCTAGTATTCACTACTATGACCCAACAATTCCACTATAAGACTCAGGATGACAGAGACTTTTTATAAAATTCTGTATTAGGGGGTATAATCAAAAAAGGGAGAGCTGTTATGGGGCACTAGCCATGGTCTTTTTGGGAACCACATGAAAGCTGTTTTATGCTTCATAATTCACAATTTAGTAAACGCTGTGTTTCCTATAGTCCCCAGAATGTGTATTATAGTCTATAATTTAAAATAATATCATATAAAATAAGTAAAATCCTTAAATTTCAGAAAAAGTTTACTACCTAAGACCAAACATGTCAACATATTTCACCCATAAATACAGACATTACCTTCAACTTTTCAATGGAACCATAAAATAAATTCAAGTCATGTGTTGGGTAGGAGAGAAAACACCCATCAACAGATGAATGGATATGCAAATTGTACAATACAATGGAATATCAAGTAACCATAAAGAACAAGGATCTGGAGGGCACATCAAGCAAATAAGGGCAAATACTGTATGGTCCTTCTTTCATAACCAGACAAGAATGGAAAAATACAGAGAGACCAATGCTCATTGATGGTTACCAGGGGATGGGGTGGGGAAAGTGTGGCTTATACAGTTGTTATGAAGTGTTATCGAGCCAGTTCAGACTCACAGCGGCCCTATATATGGATTCTGAGGAGCAGCAGGTGGGTTTGAACATCTGACCTTGTGGTTAGCAGTTCACTGCTACAGAAACTATCTTTGGTGACGGAAAAAGTGACACTGAATGGGTATATAGTGAACACAGTACAACCAAAGTAAAATGGGCACTTGAGTCCATGTGGGTTGTCATTGTTAAGTGCCATCGAGTTGGTTCCAGCGCATAGTGACCCTGTATAGGGTTTCCGAGGATCAGTTACTGAGCTTGAACCGCTGACCCTGCAGTCCAGCACATTAGCCTACAGTGCCAAACGGGTACAGGTATTTACATAAGTGAAACAGAGAGAAGTATCTAGAGGTATGTGTAAATACAAATATGTGGGTATAGGCACAATGAAGACACAAATACAGATGTTCCTCAAACATAACCAAACACCTCCCAACATGGCTCTTCTGGGTTACAAAACTGAGGACCATAGTCTCATGGCACAACTCAGTCAATTAGCATAACATAGTTCACAAAAATCATGATCTGTACCATAGTGAAGTGAATACCAGGCAAGAGGTAATAGAAGATACAACTACAGGTCTGTTTTTTGTCATTGTTGATAGGTGCCGTTGAGTCAGTACCGACTCATAGTGACCTTATGCACAACAGAACAAAACAGTGCCAGTACTGTGCCAACCTCACAATTGTTGCTACGCTTAAACCCATTGCTGCTGCCACTATTGCCAATTCATCTCATTGAGGGTCCCTCTTTTTCGCTGATCCTCCATTTTATCAAGTATGATGTCCTTTTTCATGGACTGGTTCTTTCCAATAACATGGCCAAAGTCTGAGAGATGATGTCTCCCCCCCATCCTGGCTTCTAAGGAGCATTCTGGATGCACTTCTTCTAACAGAGTGGGTTGTTCTTTAGACAGTCCATGGTACTTTTAATATTCACCTCCCTCCAACACAACTCAAATGCATCAGTTCTTCTAAGGTCTTTATTCACTGTCCAACTTTCACATGCATATGAAGTTACTGAAAATACCATGGTTTGGGTCAGGCGCACCTTAGTCCTCAAACTGACATGTTTGCTCTTGAACATTTTAAAGAGGTCTTGTGCAGCTGATTTACCTAATGCAATGTGTCATTTGATGTTTTGACTGCTGCTTCCATGAGCGTTGATGGGTGATCTGAGCCAAATGAAGTCTTTGACAACTTCAATCTTTGCTCCATTCATCTTGATGTCACTAATTGGTTCCATGACCAAGATTTTTTTACAATGAGGTACAACCCATACTAAAGGCTGTGACCTTCGATCTTCATCAGTATCTTACATCCTCTTCGCTTTCAGCAAGCAAAGTTGCAATATCTGCATATCAAAGGTGGTCAATGCGTCTTCCTCCAATCCCGATTACAAGTTTTTTTTTCATATAATCCAACTTTTAGAATTATTTGCTCAGCATACAGTTTGAATAAGTATGGTGAAAGAATACAACCCTGGCACACACATTCCCTAATTTTAAACCATTCAGTGTTCCCTTGTTCTGTTCGCACAACTGCCTCATGGTCTATATAGGTCCTCCTGAGCACAGTTAAGTGTTCCAGAACACTCTTTCTCTTCTATGTTGTCCACAGCTTATCATGATCCACACAGTGGAAAGTTTTTGCATAGTCAATAAAGCATAGGTAAACATTTTTCTGGTGTTCTCTGCTTTCAGCTAAGCACCATCTGATGTCAGCAATGATATCCCTTATTCCACGTCCTCCTCTGAGTCCTGCTTGAACCTCTGGCAGTTAGTTCCCTGTCAATATACTGTTGCAGCTGTGTTAAAATTATTATTAGCAAAATTTTACTTGTAAGTGGTATTAATGATATTGTCCAATAATTTCTGCATTCTGTTGGGTTCTCTTTGGAATGGGAACAAATATGGGTCTCTATTAGCCAGGAGTGAAAGAGTAAGAAAGTAACCAAAAATGCAGGGAAAAAACAAGTCTATATGAGCCATAACCTCATCTACTCTGAGCCCAAGAGAACTAAATGATGCCCCCAGATACCACACTGATCTTTCTGCGGTCACAATAGTTGGTGCCAGAGAGAATGGGAAAAAAATACCAAAGTCTTATGTAATAATAATAATAATAAAAGCTAGATAAACAAGAACAGTAGAGACTATCGGCCTGAGACACTCCTTAAACCTAGAACTAAGCAAAGGCCCTGAGTAGCACACACAAAAGGGGATTTGCTGCTGTTGTTTGTTGTTATTGTTAAGTGCCATCAAGTTGGGTCCGACTCTTAGCGACC